CTCATTGCATCTAGCTGCTAGTGTGTGTTGGGAAACCCACCTGTAATAAAGCTCGACCAGGTGAGACCAGGCAGCCCCTGAACTGACTGCACAGGGGAATGTGCACAGCAGGCTTGGGGGGCACCCAGTCATACCCAAACTCTCTTTTTCTGTTTAAATAATGGGTTTGGTAATGCATCTTACAAAATGTGAATAATAATTTTAAAGTTACCAAAATGTTAATGTTGTCTACAGGACACTCAGCAGGAAATGAGAATGATCTGGGACTAATAAAAAACAGAATGTAATTTATGTAGATAATAGAGCACCAGCCTTCAGCACTTCCTTGGATCTTTGAGTTCTGGGCTCATAAATGTGGACCAGGTAGGGCAGGGGCCTGCACCCTTGACTTGGATTTGCACACCTTCACTTGGGCCTGGACCTACCCACCTTGACTGGGGCCTAGGCCTACGCCAGGGTCTGCCTGCCTTCACCTGGGTCTGCAGCCAGCCCACCTTGTCCTGGGCCTGCCCACTTTGACTTGGCCTGCCTGCCTTTACCTGGGAACCTTGGGTTTTAGGGAGTAGAATCAGGAGGCACAGGGCTGTCCACCCAGCAAGGAGCTGCCAAGCTAAAGTCAAAGCCTGCCTGCTAGGCAAGTGCATATTGGCAGGTATCTCCTGCAGTGCTTTACCCAAGCGGCCAGGGACAGAATTGAAGTAGTAGAAAGAAGAAAATTTGTCAGAGTAAAGCCTGTGATATATCCAGAAGTGTGATGAGAGCCTACCCTGTGGAGTACTGGTCTTCGACATGGGAGTGTTTTCCCGCACTACTGTCTCCTAGCATGCTGACTACAGGGCAGAACCCCACTGTGCTAGCAGAACTCCTATCCAGGTTCCCTGCCAAGCTGGGAGAAGGTGAGAACCTTCCATTGGCCAGCCTCAAGGTGCTGCTCTGAGCTAAGGGTTGATGCTGGGGTCTGGGCCACAAAGACAGCAGGAAGGGGCATGCATGATGATGGGAGCACCTGGCAAAGAAGCACTTGGTGGCAAGGTGGCAGTTCTTGACAGATTGAGGAAGGCTTATATTCCCAGAAACTTGGGAGTTGTCAGGGCTAAAGAGAAGGGCCCTCAGTCCCTAAGAGGGGCCATTTGCCTAGAGATAGTCACCACTGTATCTGAGGAGATACTGGTATCTCTCTAGAGCAGCCATTACTATACAAACCTCAAAGAGTTGTCAGGAAAAGCCCTGTGCAGGCCCTGAGGATGCTATGAGCAGAGGATGGGATCCAAGAAGAGCAGCAGTGCAGGGTCCGGGCCTGGAGACTCCTCTGAAGGCCTGTCCCAAAGAGGGACTGGCTAGAAACTAGGTGAAGAAGAGGAAGATAAAGATGTGGGTTTGGCCTATGTACCAGCCTTTATAGAGGCCAAGTAAGGTTGGTGCAGGTGTAGGTGCAGCAAATAGACACTTCATCCAGGCCCTGCCTGACTCAGAATAGTATGAAAGGGCCTGGGATGAGCTCCGGGCCTGTGGACGCAACACCTGGGAGCTGGAATATAATGAGATCAAGATACAAGTGTAATTGCCCAGAGAACAACTGGAACATAGACAGGCAGCCCAGGACCACAGCATTGCTCAGCTGCTCTAGTAGACAGGGCCAGGCCTCTGCCACTGGCAAATCCTCCCTTGGAGAACAGTCTTGAGTGGTGTCTCACTTCTTTCCCAATGATCTGGGCTTCACTGATACCCACTCTCAGAAGGTTTTCTGTGGCATCTATTGCAAAGAGGGTCAGATCTTCATGTCTGCTTGTCAAGAATAGGCATCCCAACTGTATGGCTGCTGTAGGGCCATTTCCACCAACGCGAGATTGAGGCCCAAGATGGAGGCTTGGGGTCCCTTGATGTAACCTTCGCCCCTGATGGAATCCACTTCCTAGACTCCAGTTGGTCCAATTGCATTCATACCTGTAGCATTTACAAGAAGGGAGACATACACTGTCCTGGATCCAAGGCCAGGTGGCCATTGCATTGCTGTCTTCCCCTTTTCTATCTCTTCCGATGGAAGAGAAGTGTTGATATGGCTGCCTATACGTGTTTGACTGAGAACAGAACTGGCAGTCTTAAGACTGAGTTCCATGAAGATGAAATAAATGCAGTGGTCTTTGCTAACTTAATCTCCAAAATCCTATTCTCTGGGGGAGATGGTGCAAAGTAGGGATTAGCACATACCATGTTGGAGGATGGCCCCAACCCTGTGGGTGCATAGGGTACACTATGGTGGCATCACCTTCATTGACAGGAAGGGTAATAATTCCTGTTACCTCCTCTCCAATCCAGAGACCATACCATTGGGCTCTGGGAAATTCAATTTTTTTAGCCAGAAGCATGGTGAAGGCTCACTTTGAGCCACCACAGGCATTAGGTGGGCCTGATACTAGCAGCAGTTGCCTAAAACAACCTGGCAGAAGCTAAGGCTCCCAGGGGAACTTGAGGCCGTATTGGGACCACAGGGTGCTGCACACCTCATCTGCCTGTCAGTTCCCCCCAAGCCACAGGCCTGGGTCATTTGAGCAACTGCCCACTGGCAGAGTGGTGTGTATAACCTCCTCAGTGGCCATATTGTGACAGGCAGAAGACTGTGTGTGTGACATCAGTTGGCACCCCTTTGAAGAGAAGATTGTCAGCAGTTCATGGGACAGCAGCCTGTGCCTGTGGCTATACTAGCAATCTGAGTACTTCTGGGAGAACATAGCAGAGTCCAAAGGACACCCTATGTCCCTACTGTAGTGACCGCCCCTCTGTAGCATTTTCCATTCCCCAGAAGGTTTGGTCCCCAAGGATGAGCCTCTTGACAAATTCACCTTGCCACTTCCTCCCTCTCTTCCTTATTGGGGGTGCTTGGAAGAATTGCTAGCATTGGACTGGGAAAAATAGAAGCCCAGGCTTCTGGGGTCCCAGGTGAGCCCTGAGGGTCCACTCCTCAGGACAGAGTGGCCTCTTGGGCCTCCCCCTCTCCTTCTCTCTCCCCTCTGCCCCCCCACCACACACATACTTGTCCCCTCCCTCCCAGTTGGTTTGGGTCCCTGGGGTGTAACCTGTTTAGCAGTAGAATGTTCCAGTGTTTTTGGTCATGTTTGGATGGATGTTAGATACTGGTTTCTAGGGTAGTGTGCCTGAAGACAGGTCTGTAGTAAACAGTCTGGGCCTCTTCACCTCCACCAAGCCCTTTTGCTCAAGCTTTTGATTTGAGGATTAGACTAACCAATTAGAGGGCTAACCTCTAACCCTGTAGGGGAGGGTTTGTTGTGTACCATTGAGCTGGAACTGACCTATAGCTGACCCTCCAGCAGGTTCAGAGTAAATTGCACAGGAGGAGATTGCCCATCCTCCCACAGAGCAGCTGGTGGATTCAAACCTGCCTTTGAGTTGCTAGTGAGTTGTTATTGGCTCCTTACCACTGACCCAGAGCTCTCTAGGATGCTGTTTTCTCATAGCCCTCTTGGAGTGGAAATTATGTCACCTTTCTCATGTACTTGAGTTTTGGGGTAGGACAGGCTGTGTCAGTAGGAACCAGTAGCTTTCAGAAGCTCCCAGCAGCCAGCCCCACACAGTGCAGGCCAGGCCAGAAGCCAGCTGCTTCCAAGGGTGGCTGAGGTAGGACACCTTTGTCAACTCACTGGCATTGGGACCCTCAGTAAACTTGTAGGAGAGCAAAATAAGCAGGGAGCTTACACATTCAATTTAGGGTTAACTGCCAGCTCACGGACCCCTTTCTTCTTTCTTTCTGTATTTCTCAGCATCTCTGGCTCCTTCTAAGAGCTCTCTTCCTGCCCTTAGGAATGAGAACTGCAAAGTCCTGGCAATCTCTCAGGTCAGGTTATTTCCTCCCTGCTAGAGGTACTTCATTGTCACAGAGTAAAACCAGAGCCCTTGGGACTCTGCCAGGGACAGCCGGACCCTGGGCACATTGTGGGTTCTTAGCCCAGCATATTCCTCCCTTCCTTCCCCTCCCCTGTCTTGTGTGTTTTCTGTGGCAGTCTGTCTGGCCTATCTGTTGTTCTGAAAGGCCCCCACCCCAGGTCATTTCTTGACCCAAATACTGCTTCAGCCTGTCTAACTCCACCCAGGCCTGACCCCTAAAATCATAACCATATGAAAATCATAACTGTGGTGTGCCCTAGCCCTGACCCTGCAGATGCAAAAGGGGTAGAGGGGCAAGAGAGAGAGCAGTTACACACACCCAAACAGGCCTCACTGTGTGCGTGCCTGCCAGTATGCACGCCCTCACTCAGGCCTGTAATCCATTCACGCACCTGTAAAATCAAAATAGATAGGTGCCCCTGCCCTGCATCCCTGGGGCTCAGACGAAAAGCTCTGGGCCTCCACTGGCTCAGGATCCTAACTGTAATCTGAAAGCACCAGTTTCCATGTGGTTTGACAGTGGAGGAGGCAGCATGCGTGTGTGTGCATGCATGTGCCCTGTGTGTGTGTAGCGTACCTTTGTGAGTATACATGCCTCTGTTAGCATGTACACTGGTACCCTAAGACATAGCGGCAACTTCTCCCTGGGTTGGGGACAACCCCACCTTGGCCTGCTTCATCATAATTAAAGGCTGGAACTCAGGGATAGGTGATGAACCAGCATATCCCTGGAGACAAGGCAGCTAAGCTAGAATTGCTTTGCCAAACACTTTGGAGCCTCAGTGCAGGTCTGCTGATGGTGAAGAGCCAACTAGGAACTAAGCACAGTAGCCACTCAGACCGCAGCCTGGCACTGAGTGGCCCGTCAGCACTTCCATGTCTATTGCTGTCTTTAGTAGGGATCAGCTGCAAAGAATGTGAGAGCTAGAATTCCCGTACTGCCCCCTAAGACAAGATGTTAGGACATGTATGTATGGTGGAAGGGGTGGGAGATGCAGAGAGGTGCTACCTCTGGGGCAAGAGGAGGTAGCCCATCTGAATCCTCTCTCTTTCCTTCCTCTTCCCTCCACCTCCCTTTTTCTTTTCACAGATAACCAGCCCGAGTCATGCAGTCTTTTCGAGAAAGGTGTGGTTTCCATGGCAAACAGCAAAACTACCAGCAGACCTCACAGGAGACATCACGCTTGGAGAATTACAGGCAGCCAAATCAGGCCGGGCTAAGCTGTGATCGGCAGCAGCCACTCACCAAGGACTATTATAACCAACAGCCTTACCCAGGCTACGAGGGCAGTGTGGGGGCATCTAGCAGCTCGGCAGCCTCAGTGGTGGCTGAGAAGTATCAGCCAAGCACCAAAGCTTTACCTTCTCAGCAGGCCCTGTCCGGGCGGCCAGCCTTTCCCAGCTATAGCATGCAGGACAGCAGCCTGTATCCAGGCCGATATTCAAGTGGGGAGGAAAGCCTACAGACCTGGGGGACTCCACAGCCACAGTCCCTGCCAGGTGGTGTGGGCAAATATGAGGAAAGCTTGATGAAAAAGACAGCAGTGCCCCCAAGCAGGCAGTACCCAGATCAGAGCTCTCAGCTTCCCTTTCGGACTCATTCCCTACACATGCAGCAACAGCAACAACTACAGCAGCTGTCTCAACCTCAGCCACCCCTCGTGTACCCTAAACTCCAGAGACAGAAGCTGCAGAGCGACGTTGCCTCACCACTGCCCTTCCCCCCAAGTAGCCACTTTCCCCAGCATTCACAGTCCTTCCCTGCCTCCTCCACCTACTCCCAGTCTGTCCAGGGTAGTGGGCAGGGGGCCCATTCCTATAAGAGTTGTACAGCACCATCGGTTTCATCCCATGACCGGCCACTGACAGCTAACTCCAGCCTGGCTCCAGGGCAACGAGTCCAAAACCTTCATGCCTACCCATCTGGCCGTCTCAGCTATGACCAGCAGAAACAGCAGCAACAAGCCCTTCAGAGCCGTCACCATGCCCAGGAAACCCACCATTACCCAAACCTCACCAAGTACCAACACTACGGGCAGCAAGGCCAGGGCTACTGCCAACCAGATGCAGCTGTTCGAACTCCAGAGCAGTACTACCAGACTTTCAGCCCCAGTTCCAGCCACTCACCTGCACGTTCTGTGGGCCGCTCACCTTCCTATAGCTCCACCCCATCACCACTGATGCCAAACCTGGAAAATTTTTCCTATAACCAGCAGCCACTTGGCTCCGGGGCCTTCCCTACTGGGATCACTGACCACAGCCACTTTATGCCTCTGCTCAATCCCTCTCCTACAGATGCTGCCAGCTCTGCAGACCCTCAGGCCAGTAGCTGCAAGCCCCTGCACAAGGACAAGCTCCCTGAGAACCTGTTATCAGACCTCAGTCTGCAGAGCCTCACAGCTCTGACCTCACAGGTGGAGAACATCTCCAATACTGTGCAGCAGCTACTGCTCTCAAAGGGCTCGGGGGCACAGAAAAAGGGGATCAAGCCCCTGGTCTCCAGGCCCCCTGAGCAGGGCCAGCACTGTAGCCCTGAGAGCAGCAGTTACTTGGCAGAACCAGTGGGCACTCCTCTGTCAGAGCCACTGAGCAGCACCCCACAGTCCATCCATGCTGAGCCCCCAGAGGCTGACTACTTGAGTGGCTCTGAGGACCCTCTGGACCGCAGCTTCCTCTACTGCAACCAAGCCCGGGGGAGTCCTGCCAGAGTCAACAGTAACTCTAAGACCAAGCCTGAGTCAGTGTCCACCTGCTCTGTGACCTCTCCAGATGACATGTCCACTAAGTCTGATGACTCCTTCCAGAGTCTACACAGCAGCCTGCCACTGGACAGCTTCTCTAAGTTCGTGGCAGGTGAGCGAGACTGTCCACGGCTGCTCCTCAGTGCCCTGGCGCAGGAAGACCTGGCCTCTGAGATCCTGGGGTTGCAGGAAGCCATGGGCGAGAAGGCCGAGAAGGCCTGGGCTGAGGGGCCCAGCCTGACAAAGGATGTTAACAAGCCCCCCTTCTCCCTGGAGAACCACAGCACCTGCCTGGACCCTGGGTCCAAGAGTGGGTGGCCGAGGTCAGGAGAACCAGAGGCACTAACTGACCCCTTACAGCTGGAAAAGGGCAGCAACAAGGACTTCAGCCCAGGACTATTTGAGGATCCCTCCATGGGCTTTACTGCCCCTGACCCCAAAAAGGCAGCTGGGTCCCTCTCTTTCATCACCAAAGTCCCCCTTGGAGCAGACCCTACAACAGCAGCCTTCGACTGCTTCCCAGACCCAGCCACCACTGGCTCAGCAGACAGCACCAACCCCTTTGCCTGGCCAGAGGAGAACCTGGGTGACCCCTGCCCCCGGTGGGCTCTGCACTCTGGGGAGATCAACAAGGGTGTAGAGTCTAGTGAGAAGGCCTCGGAGGGTATGAGCAAAGAGGCACCAGCCTGCCTCAGCTTCCAAGGGGAAGAGCCAGCAGGGGAGAAGGCGGCAGTGCCTGGGGACATGAAGCAGGAGGAGGAGGAGGGTGGAATGAAGGAAGAGGCTGAGGCCAGCCGGTGGCTGGAAGAAGGCCAGCATTGCTGCACCCCTGCTGACTTTGGGGACCTCCCGCTGCTGCCTCCCACTGGCAGGAAGGAGGAGCTGGAGGCGGAGGAGGAGTACTCCTCCCTGTGTGAGCTCCTGGGAAGCCCTGAGCACAGGCCCAGCCTACAGGACCCACTCTCCCCCAAGGCCCCACTGACTCACACTAAGGAGGAGGTAGAAGAGGCACTAGACTCCAAGTCTGGCTGGGGTTCGCCCTGCCACCTCTCTGGGGACTCTGTCATCCTACTAGGCCCCACCGTGGGCACTGAGTCCAAGGTCCAGAGCTGGTTTGAGGCTTCCTTGTCCCACATGAAGCCAGGTGAGGAAGGGCCTGATACAGAGCACGCACCAGGAGACACTGTTACCCCTGATACCTCACTGCCCTCAAAGTTCAACAAGCCCGCCATGCCTGAGGCCCCCGTTGCCAAGAAGGAGCCTGTGCCACGGGGAAAGAGCTTGCGGAGTCGGCGGGTACACCGAGGGCTGCCGGAGTCCGAGGACTCCCCATGTAAGGTTCCTGCACTGCCCAAAGACCTCCTACTTCCCGAGTCCTGTGCAGGCGCCCTCCAGGGAGAGATGGAAGAGGCAGAAGCCCCTGGCCGGGGCACTTCAGAAGGGCTCCCCAGAATGTGCACACGTTCCTTCATGGCTCTAAGTGAACCCCGTACACCTGGCTTTCCCAGCCTGCCCACTACCCCTGCAACCCCAGAACGATTGGGAGGCAAGCAGCGTGCAGCCTTCAAGTCAGGCAAACGGGTGGGGAAGCCTTCACCCAAGGCTGCATCCAGCCCCAGCAACCCAGCTGCCCTGCCTGTGTCCTCTGATAGCAGCCCCATGGGTTCCAAAACCAAGGAGCCAGATTCGCCCAGCAACCTGGGCAAGGACCAGCGCTCCATGATCCTCCGGTCCCGCACCAGGATCCAAGAGACCTTCCACGCCAAGCGAAGGCGGCCTGTGGAGACCCAGTTGCCCAGCTGCCGCACCACCAAGAAGCTGCTCACCAACAACTACCTGCCTGTGCCCTTCAAGGCCTCTGGTGGCTCCCAAAAGGAAGGCAGAGTAGCCCAGCGGGTTCGGGTCACCAAGCCCAGCGGGAGAGGCAGCAAGTCCTCTGAGCGACCCCTGGGTACACTGAAGAGGAAGTCCTCTTTAGTAGCACCTGTCCCCTCCAAGAAGCGCAGTCTAGTGTTGCGGAGCAATAGCAGTGACTGCAGCGGGGATGCCCATGAGGAGAAGGCAGAAGGCACCCTCACCCTCTTCAAGAGGTTGTCTTCTCCCAAGAAAACCAAGCTGGCCCAAAGCAGTGAGGGTGAGCCCCCCACAAAGGCCTTGCCAACAGAGGCCCCCAGTGTCTGCATCAAGATAGCTTCACGGGCAGCCTTCCAAGGGACTATGAAAACCAAAGTGCTCCCCCCCCGTAAGGGTCGAGGCCTGAAGCTGGAGGCAATTGTGCAGAAGATAACCTCACCCAGCCTCAAGAAGTTTGTATGCAAGGTGGTGCCTGGGGTCACACCTGCTGATCCCCTGAGCTCAGCTATCCCAGAGAAAGAGCGAGCACTCAAGAACTTGGGAGGCAGCCCTGTAGGAACAGAGGAAGGGCTGATGACCACAAGTGTGGGGCAGAAGCTTCCAGCAGCTCTGGGGGCTGACTCCTTGTGCAAAAATTCAAACAATAGATCCTTAAAAGGCAAGCTTATCAATAGTAAGAAACTGTCCTCAACTGATTGTTTCAAAACTGAAGCCTTTATGGTGCCAGAGGCCCTTCCACCTGGAGGAACAACACTGATATCTAAGAAGAGAAATAGGAAGGGCAGGGCTGGAGCCCCGGGACTCACTAAAGGCCTTCAGGATGAGCATTCCCATGTGGGTCCAGGTCTACTCCCAGCCCCCCAAGAGAGGGCTAGCAGCACACCAGAGGGTGATGAGGACATCTCTGGTGGAGGAGGCAAAAAGCCAAAGAAGGAAGGGCTGGGCGCCGATCTCCAGTCTCCTGAGGACCTGCTATGCCAGCCCTTGACCAGGGCACAGAAACAGCCAGGCCATGTAAACTACAGTAGTTACTCCAAGCGGAAGCGACTTGCACGGGGCCGGGCCAAGAGCACCACCACCTCACCATGCAAGAGTCGTGCCCGACGACGGCGTCAACAGCAGCAGATACTGCCCCTGGATCCTGCAGAACCTGAAATCCGCCTCAAGTACATTTCCTCCTGCAAACGGCTTCGGGCTGATAGCCGGATTCCAGCCTTCTCCCCCTATGTGCGGGTAGAGAAACGAGATGTGTTCACCACCCTGTGCACTGTTGTCAACTCACCTGGGGATGAGCCTAAGCTCCACAGGAAGCTTTCTTCCTTCACCTCCTCTTCATCGTCCTCCTCCTGCTTCTCCTTGGACATGGCCCCTGCCTTGCTTCCTGCAGGCTCCATTCTGCAGCCACAGTCCTCCTTGCCCCTCTCCTCTACCATGCACCTGGGGCCTGTGGTCTCCAAGGCCCTTAGTACCTCTTGTCTTGTTTGCTGCCTCTGCCAAAACCCAGCCAACTTTAAGGACCTTGGGGACCTCTGTGGTCCCTACTACCCTGAACACTGCCTCCCTAAAAAGAAGTCAAAACTCAAGGAGAAAATGAGAGCAGAGGGCACCTATGAAGAGACCTCACTGCCCCTAGAGAGAATGCATAGAGGCCTCGAGTGTCCAGCCACCACCACCACCCCTGGGAAGCTCCCCAGGCTTGATAGCTCAGCTGACTCAGCCAAGCAGGGCTCCCTGCGCACCAGTGCCCGAGGCCTGTCCAGGCGGCTGCAGAGTTGCTACTGCTGTGATGGCCAGGGTGATGGGAGTGATGAGGCGGCCCCAGCTGACAAGAGTCGCAAACACGAGTGCAGCAAGGAGGACCTGGCAGAGCCCAGCGGGGGCACCCAGGAGCATTGGGTGCATGAGGCCTGTGCTGTGTGGACGGGCGGGGTCTACCTGGTTGCCGGGAAGCTCTTTGGGCTGCAAGAAGCCATGAAGGTGGCTGTGGACATGGTAAGAGGGCAGTCCATCCAAGGCAGGGACCTCTGGGAACAAGGGCAGGGATGCAAGCCCCGTGGGAGTCCTGGGGCCTGGAGGTGCTCAGGGCCGAGAAGCACATACCTGTGCATGCCCAGCCAAGAACCCAAACTGGCTCCAGCCCACTCATGCCCATTGGTCACACCTCCCAGGGGAGAGGGACGGACACCCCAAAATTAGCATAGACCAGTCCTCAAAAGCAAGGTGTTTGCCCCAGATACCAGGTCTTTACCTTTTAAATGAAGTTGAGTCCTTAGAAGACCCCTGAGACTAGCATATGACAGGACAACCCCGGGAATCCATAGCAGAGGAATTCTGAAAACACCCTGTCAGGGAACTCTGTCTTGTGTGGCCCCTGCTCACTTTCCTCAGGACCTATCACTTACCTCTCTGCCTCTATTTCCTTATCTCGAGAGTGGAGATGAGGAAGGTCTGTGAGGATGACAGGATTGACCCTGTGAAGCCTGTAGAACAGAGCCTGGTGTTTGTCAAGTGACCTCTGAGCATTTGTATTGTGATTGCTGATGGTAGGGCAGGAGCAGCATCGCCTGCAGAATCTCCACAGCATAGTCACAACTGGACTTCCAGTGTGCACAGAGGCCTCTGCTGTCCTGCAGATGATCCTTGGAGCAGCTCAGAGGGACTGCCTCTACCACTTCTTTACCCCTCCAGGCCTTTCTCACACCAGTTCAAGGGCTCTGGGGTCCAGAGCAGGGGGTCTAAAGTGTCCTGGCCATGCTTCTACCCCCACCACTCGCACACACATCCAGGCCTACCATAGTGACCATTTCAGATGAAGGCATCCTTTCCATAGCTGCCCTCTTCCACAGTTTGTCTACTCGTTCACTCACTCATTCTGTCCCCTGCGCTGGGCTCTGCTTCCTGCTGCTGAGTAGAGGGCCAGATAACAACTGTCTTGATGAGGTGGGAAGAGCAGTAACTGGGCCTCGCAGCTGCCTTTGTCCAGAAGCTCAGTGCTAGAGGAGACCTGATCCTGTGTGGTTGGCATCCATGCCCACACCTCAGCAGTCACATTCAAACCCAGGCAGAGTGATGACCTCCATACTGCTGCCTTCACTGTCCTCCTGCAGCTGCCCTTCACTTTGGGTGGTGTGGCCTCACCCTCCAGAAAGCCCTCTGTTGACCATACCATTGGTGCATAGACCAGCCGCCCACAGTTGCAAGAAGAGACCAGAGAGCCTCTTTGGGACCTGCTTCCTGGCCCACCAAGATGAATGACTCCACAGGCCTGTTTCTCCCTCTTTTTTCAGTTCTTCTCCTTCTTGCTTTCTCTGTTTCTCTTGTCACTGGCTCCTTGCACCCACTTTTAAATCCACTCTAGTCTCTTCTTTGACCATTAAAAAATAACTCTCAGTTCCCAGTTTGCCACCACTCACAAGCCCACCTCTCACAAGTGCCTGTCTTTTTGTCTTACAAATCATTGCTCAGCCTCCTGCATGCATCACTTGACTGAACCAGTGTCACTCACCCCCAAATCTAATACCATCCCCTGCCCTCCCCCCCCCCCCCCAAGTCCTGTGCACTTGGTAACCCTCCCCCCCCCCCCCCCCAGCAGTTCTGGCATCTTGATGACCTCTACCCCACACCCATGCAGCCTAGGCTCATGGTGGAGGGTGATGTGAGCATAGACAAACACCCTCGGGCCCAGCTGCTCCTGTGGGTGGGGCACACCCGCACTGGCCTTGCAGGAACAGTGTCATGTTCATTCATTCACACAGCTGTGTAAGTATAGAGGTCTGGCTTCTGTCCAGGCTCGAAAAATGACCTGACAATCTCTGCAGGGGACATCCACAGAAAGCCAGAGCAGGGAAGACACAGTGCCCATCCTCCCACTAACCTCCAGTGCCTCTGTGTTGGTAGCCCAGTTACAGCACCAACACCAGAGTTGATACAGCCCCTAGTTCCAATCCAGGTTCATTTGAATATGGTGTGGCTTGACTAAGGAGCCTCTGGGAGCCTCCCCTGAGCGGTTCTTGCCCATTCTCAGTGTCACAGGGTTACGGCTAGGGTTAGCACACACAGGCCCTGCAAGGAGGCCAACTGTGACCCAGCACATTGGCTGGTCCTGTGGCTTTCCTTCTGGAGGAGCAGGACATCCCACAGGTTTCACTTCCCTTGGCTTTCACTGCCAGGCTTTCTTCCTTTGGGTGCTGCCACACTTCACTTGATGGACCTTCAGTTTCCCAGCCTGTCTCCAGAGAGCGTGCCCTTCCCCGATGGACTCAGGCCCCCAGCTCCCCTGCAGTTGGTGCCTGGCCCTTTGGGAGCTTTAGGTGAGGAGAGGCTGTGACTATAAAATGGCCATAATGTGGGGTATCTGCTTTGTCCAGCCTAAGCCCTGTTACAGCCCCTCCATCTATTTTTACCTCAATTTCTCTGTCTTTAGAATGGACAACATTATTTTGCCTGCTGTGTGGACTTGGTACAGGGTGGGCCCTTAGTCAGCCAGAGCTGTTCCCCCTGCTACTGTTTCAATACTCAGGCACCCTCAGCCACTTTCAGACAAGAGGCTTGGGCCTGGCATGGACTGTGCTGCTTCATTGTCTCTCTGGGTCACGAATTGGGGTGATACTTGACCCCAGTAGGCTGCAGCCCTACCCATTCAAAAGAACCATGTGAAAACCTGGAATGTTCTCTAGCTTCCACCTTGCTGGTGTCACAGAGTCAACACTGTCAGAGAGGGCGCTCTTAGCAGAAGAGAATGTCTTCTCACTTCCTCCCTGTCCTGGCCTGTCCCAGTATCGAGTATGGTTGCAAAAGCTCCAGGATCTGGCCCTGCTGCAGAAGTTCTGTGCCAATGTTATAAGCTTATTCACTTGTAAACCCTGTGAAGTAACAGTAACACCAACCTCATGAAGTTAAGAGAGCAGTGCTCCCACCTGTGCTTTGTGTGGAGTGCACATTCTTTGTTTTAGGGCTTAGTCTCACATCCTAGGTCCCCTCACCACTGTCAGCCCTGCATGAGCGGGCCCCATCTGGCCCCCATCCTGTGTGTAGGTGCTCAGCTTCTAGAGTCTTTGTGATTTGGGCCAATCCCTTGGCCTCCAGTTTTGCCTGTTCCAAAAGTTTGTGGCTTTGCCATTTTGAGAAGCAGCTTGGGCTGGGTATCAGCCTGGGTGGCCAACATTTTACAGCTTCCTTCTCTCCTTTTCAGAAGTTAAACTTGAGTTCTAGGGAGGTCACTGACTCATCCTGGGGTGGGTTGATGACCCCCCAAGCCCAGGTTGTAGTCTGCTACCTTAAGAGAAGCATGCTTATTGCATCACCTTCAGACAGAGGACCCTCAGTTTCACCACCTATAAAGTAGGGTGAGTGAAAGTTGCCTACCTCAAGGTCTGCTATGAACACAAAGGCATACACAAGGTTCATCTGCACCCATAAACACAGAGACTGGCTGGTCCCTACAGCAGTACTGATAGCTGGCATTGCTGGAGCTTGTGGGTCAGCTCAGGGACTTCACAGGCATTGCCATCAGGGAGGTATTACCCCATCTGGTGCAAAGAACTGAAAGCTGAAAGAACTGAGTCACACAGAAGGGCAGAGTTGGGATTTGAACCCTGGGTCATGCCAAAACCCATGCTTGTCCATTTATTGGTCATCTCCCAGCCCTGAGAGACCTTCCCTATAGGGCAGTCAAGTAGCCACTAAGGAATCAAGCCTAGTGGGCAGTTGTACTCCAGTCCGGAGCTTCCAGTCACCATTTTCGAGGACTGGGGGTTTTAACACTCAAAGAGCTGGCCTCTTCAAAGACCGCTTACTTGTCTCCCCTCTCTCTTCATCAGACATGTTCCAGCTGCCAAGGAGGCGGTGCCACAATTGCGTGTTGCCACAAGGGATGCATCCACAGCTACCATTACCCCTGTGCCAGTGATGCTGGTAAGATCCTCCTGGGGCCCTAGAGACTGGAACAGTCAAGGCAGACCTCACCACAGTACCTTGGACAAGGGCCTCATGTGATCCCTTGGCTTCCCTTTCCCATTTCAGAGGTTTCAGACATGTTCTGTCTCCTTCTCTCTGCCTGGGGCCTGTGCTAGGGCAGTGAAGATGAGTCAGCTGACTTCTGTTGGAGAAATGTTCAGTGTGAGGGGGAAAGTGGAGCATACACCATAGAGAGTGATTAAAGAAGCTGTCGTTGCCAAGAAGTGGGGAAGAACTCATGTCTCAGAGAATAAAGGGAACTGGCACTGGGCTTCTGAAGGATGAGTACGAGTCCTCTGGGCAGAGAAAAAGGGAAAGAACAACACAGATTGAAATGAAACAAGAGGAGACTCAAAACAGAGACCAAGGGTCAAGCGTCTCCTCTTGATAACAATTCAGAAATGGCAAGCACAGTGGTGGGTCCAGCAGTATCCCACCATTCTCTGCTCTTCTTTATTGAGCACTGGCTATTGCCAGCCATGCAGAATGAGTGACTGCAAGAGCTGAGAGCCTCAGCCTTCATCAGTCAGGCAGAGAAGCCAAAGGCAAAATAGAATTCATACTCACCCAAAGGAAAAAAAATGCATAAGGCAGCATTTTAGTCTTTCAATTAGTCATTTAGGGTGAGTTTAGAGGTTTTTGGGTTTTTTAAACCCCTTGTGCCATTCTTACTCTGTGGCCTTGGAAAAGATAGTTGCCGTATCTGTAAAATGTAGATTATAATCTCTTCTGTGAGTACTGTTTGGAGCAGGGAGTGAAATAATGAACACTTGTGGCTTTGTTCATGGGAAGGGACCAGGAAATGCAGCATCAGCTCATATGGGCCATATCTCCCTCATGCTCACCATTTCCTCAGCAGGTGAGCTGCCTAGACATGGACAAATAACTGGGGGTGAGAGGTAGACAGTTCTGTGTGTAAAGTGAATGAGGGATTACATGCTTATGACCCCCACTTTGTGGATGGCAAAGCCATGGCCTCATCATCCTTTCACTGTGTAGAGGTCTGCAGCCCCTACTTTGTACCCAGTGTGCTCTGCTCTGTAGAGACCATTCCTGGTCCCCTACCTGCTTGGTCCTTGTCAGCACCTGCTCCCTGCCATGCCCCATGACACACGGCCCCACAGGCTAATGCACCACAGATTGTATCTTCCACCTTTAGTGACTGATTCAGCACCCCCTTCATACCATGCTATATGTTAAGCATCCCGTGCTCCTTTCTCTGATTGTTGTAGGGAAGTTGTCTTATGGAATGGCTTGAGCATTACCAGGGAGTAACCTCACATTGTGCTTGCCCATACCTAGTGTCACCCAGCCTTCCAAGAGGCTTATAAGCTGGCCTTGAAAGACCAGGAGCACTGACAGGATCAGAGTGGTGTGTGACAAGAGCTGGGGGGCCCTGCGCTGATCAGACTGGTGCAGATGGAGTCCAGAGCTTTCCTCAGCACAGAGTCAACAGGAAGTGATGTGAGAGATGAAGAGGGAGACATAAAGCTTGATGTCCTGCTTGCCGTTGTCCATCGGGGAAGTGGAGGCATGAAGGACCTCAGGCTGGCCAGATAGAACACATCAGCTATTGAGTCTTAGTTGCTGGTCCTTTTGACCCCAGCTGGGTAGCTAATGTTCAGGTGATCGAGGACATCCTCTTCACCTGGTCACTCATCTTCACCACTCCTGATGGCCTCAGAGGGATCAGAGATGAAGAGAGTCACAAGGCCTTTTGAAGCTAAGATGGGATCTGGCATGGCAGTTCTCTGAGAGCATTCTACTGGTCAAAGCAAGTCTCTGGACTAGCCTAGATCAAGTCTTCTTTCTGATGGAGCTGCAGGGGAGGCAGGGAGTAGATAGGGTAACAGCTGAGTTGTAAAAGGCTTGGATACAGAAAAGGGAGGATTGGGCTGTTTCTGCAATCCCCTCTGGACATACAAGGTATATCCAACCGCCAGCACATGGGGAGCAGGGGACCATTACCATTCTGTACAGGAGAAGGGGAACAACTGGGAAACTGAGGAGCTTTGGCCAGATGAAGAACTTGGGCATCCAGGAAGGCCAGCAGGTAGTGACACAGGGAGGAGAGCTGGCCAGGCCATCTCCTATTGGAGCTGTAGGCTTTTGTCAGCGTTTAGGCCTGCTGAGTGGGTATCTGGTTAGGCCTTCAGAATCTTCCTCACCGTTGCCTGGCCTGCTAGGGCCCCGTCCCTCCCATCAAGGGGCCCTACTCTGGGGAAAAGCAAGCCAGTAGAGGTTGATAAGGTGGCACACCCAGAACCTGTTCATCCAGCCAGGAGCCTTGCTTCCAGTGAGCTGGGAGGAGGGCAGCTCATGTGAGTCTGGCTCCCATGCCTTTGTGGGCTATTCAGGACTGTAGGCAAGACCCAGGACAGTGGACATCGGGGCACCTGTGGGAGGAGCCAGGGCTTCACTAGAGAGTGACAGGCCAAGGAGTAGGACTCATTGAGACATCCTCACAGCTAGGCCCTGGGACATCAAGGGTGATCATGGTCAGCTCCACCCGCCACCCCTGGTCCTTCAGGTGGACAGTGTCCCTGGACATCAGACACATGCTGGGATTGGTTCAGGCCCAAGGCCTCCTCTACTCTGCTCAGCTCCTATTTAGCTGGCCAGGAGACCCGCTAGAACAAACCTACCCTATACCAGACTCCTTGGGAGTTTATACCCACACATGCATGACAAGTATAGGTAGGTGTATCATACCCATTCCACAGATATGGAGAAAAAGGCTCAGAGAAGTAGTATTGGAATTGGCATTAAAATCCAGACCTGTGGCTGTTTCCCTGCAAATCACCAAACATTCAGTGTCCTTCCTGGGGGTTCTTGTTTTAGGGACTTGAGATCTGTTCCTTGAACAATGCAGAACTAGTGTCCTTGAGGCTTTCTTCCTGGGGTTGATAAACTACCAGCCTAGGAGGTTACAAAACCAAGATCATCAAGCAAGATTAAGATCATCACAGGGCAGGCCTCTGGCACAGCAGAGAGTTTTTCAGGAGAGTTTTACTCAGTGAAGGCAACATCCTAGGTGGGCAGTGGGCGCTCCCCCCTCCCCCATGACTGAGCACCACAAGCCCTTCATGGGACACTTGATCTTAATCACAAAAACTTCTCTTTGGTCACAGGTTGCATATTCATCGAAGAGAATTTTTCTTTGAAATGTCCCAAGCATAAGGTAGGTGATCACAAGTTCACCCAACTCCTGTCTAGCTCTGGGAGGGGCTTGTGCCCACAGCATTGCATTGTTCCTCCATGACCTCATGGTGACCTATTCTCCCAGAAAGGGGACTAAAGGAGTCAAGATGCACCCAGGACAGATGTGGGCCTCCCACTGAAAGGAAAGGCACTCCAGCCTGGCTTTCCCAGGTTGAGGTGGGACAGGGCCTCTGGAGAAAGTGGGGCCTGTTGGAGGGCCGAGCTTCCAGCTGGTGGGCCTTATTGTTCCGGGGTGCCCTCAAGCACAGAACCTAACCCTGCCTCTTCTGCAGCCTCCTCACAGTCAGTGGGTGCTTACTGCTTAAGCCACAGTTTCAGTCTAACTCTTTGAGGTTTTTCCATTGACTCCTACTTGAATGAGCATGAGCACCTTCTATAGGGACTGGTCCTTTCTGATAACATGTCTAGAGCAAGCTTCCCCAGCCTTGCTTCTGAGAAGCATTTTGACTATAATTCCTCCAAAACAGATATGTTGGTTCTTCTGGCAGTCTATGACACATTCAAACTCAATTGAAATATATCCATTTTTCTTTGATCTTCCTTTTTCAACTGTCCATTTTCATATGATTGAGAAAACTGTGGCTTGGGTCAAGCTCAGGTTAGTTCTTGTGCTTTTTAACACTTTAAAGGGCTCTTTTAGACTTGCTTGTTGCAAGTACATCATGAGAATTCATTATGAATCCAAGTAAAAGGATATCCTTGAGAATTCAGTCTTTTGTCTATCATATTGCTTAGTGGTCCAGTGGTGAGGATTTTTGTTTTCTTGATATGGAGATGTAATTCACACTGAATACTTTTGTCTTCATTAGTAAGTGCTTCATATTTTTTTCTGCAAGCAAGATTGTGTCATCTGCATAACTCAGGTTGTTAATGAGTCATCCTCCAATCCTGATGCCACATTTTTCGTATAGTGCAACTTTTCAAATTATTTGTTCAGCATACAGATTAAACAGGTACAGAGAAAGGACATGCCGTGGCACATACCTTTCCTGACTTTAAACCATGCAGTGTTCCCTTGTTCTGTCAAACGATGGCCTCTTAGTCTTCTTGAAGGTTGCTTCTAAGCAGATTATTATATATTCCAGAGTTCCCATTCTTCACAATGTTATTTATAACTTGCTGTGATCCTCACAGTGGGATGCCTTCATAGTCAATAAAACACAAGTAAACCATTTTTTTTCTTTTATATTGGCTTGCATACAAAATTTGTATAATTGTGTTTCATTCATATACATTGTGTTCCACACATTCCTTCATTCACATTGTTTCATATATGTATCATTCCCATACATTGTATCTTACAGAATCCCCATTGATCTGTAGCCACACAAGTAAACATTTTTCTGGTGGTTTCTACTTTCAGCCAGATTCCTTCTAACATTAGCAATGATATCCCTCATTCCACATTCTCTTCTGAATTCAGCTTTAATTTTTTTACTGTTCTCTTGTCAGTTGATATACTGCTGCAACCATTTTTTAGTTATCTTCAGCAAAATCTAATTATATATTAATGATATTGTTTAATAATTTCTACGTTTTGTTGGATCACTTTTTCTTTTCTTTTCTTTTTAAATAAGGGGGGGAGGAAGGTATAAAATCTCTTTCAGTCTGTTGGCCAGAGAGCCAGAGAGTTGTCTTTCAAATTTCTTGGCATAGACACCTAAGCGTTTCCAGCATTGTGCTAATTTGGCTTGGACTTTGATTTTTTTTTCTTGGGTGCCTGATCATATGCTGCTTCCTGAAATGGCTCAGCATTGACCAATTGTCTCTTGTCAAGTTACTCCTCTATTCCTGCCATCTTTTTTGCCATTTCCTGCAGATATTCAGTATCACAACTCAGGCTTGGATTCTCCCCCCCCCCCTTTCATTTCTTTCAGCTTGGGAAACGTTGAGCGTGTTCATCTTTTTTGGTTTTTTTAATGCCAGGTGTCTGTACATTTCATTATCCTACTTATCTGTGTTGCCTCCAGCCACCCTTAATAATCTTCTACTCCTCATAGCTTCTTTCCTTTACATTAACTTCTCTGCATTGTAGAGTGAGTCTCAAAGATTCTTCTAACATCCATTTTGGTCTTATTTTTTTCTCTTAACTTTTGATTTTTTGCCTTTGTCTTCCACTTCACTAGTATATGCATAATTGATGGTCTGTTCTGCAATCAAGCCCTGGCGTTGTTTTGACTGGTGCTTCATTAGTAAGTGCTTCATATCTTTTCTGCCAGCAAGGTTGTGTCATCTGCATAACTCAGGTTGTTCATGAGTCTTTCTCCAATCCTAATGCCACATTTTTCATATAGTGCATCTTTCCACAGATGGAGTCCATTTGGTGGTCCATTGTGTAGTTGTAGTTTACACTATTAGTAGAAAAAGGTATTTCCAAATGAATAGGTTGGCTTTTGACATTATGTCATGAGCTCTCTGGCTTTGTTTCTGTCACCAAGGCTGTATTTTCCAAATGCCAATCCTTGTGTCTAGCTCTCACACTTCAATCATCAGTAACTATCCACATCTTGCTTGCATGTTTGGTCAATTTCAGGAAGGAAAAGATGATAAAATCCTGCAGTTTCATTTTGGCATTAGGGATTGATCTATAAATTTAAATAACAGTTGTTATTACTTGGCATATGGTTGTTATCCTATCATTGACAGCTTTGTCCTTTAGGATGGATTTTTTTTTTTTTTTTTAATTTCCATTTTATTTTCAGGTGAGTTTTTTCTTCAGCCTTTAAGGAATCAAATCCTCCCACGGGCTTTCGGGAGGCAAGGGAGGATTCGTAGGGCAGCACCTGCAGGTCTAAATCTGGGTGGGGTTGCCTATCCTTCAGGCTTCACAAAGATGGTTCCTCACCTCCTTGCTGTGAACGGCACAACTCACACAGAGTACAATTTTACACAGAGCTTCAGAAGCACGTTCATGTCAAAGACACTCACTTTGGAAGTGTCCCCGACGGCAGCTGCCTCTATTGTATTTCTCGTTATGAACTTCTTAATTGCCTGTGTTTAGCAATCACAATTTGTGCAGCGAATATGCTGCATGTGGCCATAGCTCTTGTTGGCACGACCATTGTTTCTCCTTTTGTCATCTTGGAAGTGAGGGCCCAAAAGCCAGGATGGATCTTAAAATGTTTTTGAGAATGAATTTGATACCATTCTTCTTAAATTTATCGTTCCTGGCATATACACCATCTAATTGTTTGATTCAGACTGGCCATCTCAGCTCACTTATGCCTAGGATGTATTTTTACAGCTACCAGTTTTTCTAGATTCATACTTCATATATTCCACATTTTTATTACTAGGTGTTTGCATCATTTCTTTTGAGTGCATCCTCACCTGCAGGACTCGCTTCCCAACACTGTACCAATGTTCTGATTCTCTTCATCAGATTTTCTCTGGCCAGCTGATTTAGAAGTAGCCTACCAGGAATTTGTCCTTCCCAGTCTGTCTTCATATTGAAGTTTTACTGAAACGGAACCAGGAAAAGCTGGCCAGTGGTTGAAATCCCTGTAGCATAGCTTCCAGCATCATAGCAGATGCAAACCATCAGTTTGGATGGGTGAGGTGGTGAGGTGGGGCCCTTGAAGGAGATCCTGCTTATCCACTACAGTGAGTATAAGTGACTGTTGGGTATCTTCTCTTTTTCTCTTGCAGAGGCTGCCATTATAACTATCCTCGCTGGCTGGGGAGCCACTGCCTGCCTTCCAGAAGAAAAGAGCCCCTATGCCAATCCTTGATCTGGATCCAGATCTTGGATCTGGCCACCTGGGTTGGGCAGAATACCCGTTCTGAAGCCTCCTGCTCCTAGGAATCAAATGGCAAGAGCACTCTTACCCGGGCCAGGCATGTAGGATGCTGAGCAGCCAGACTCCATGGTGCCCAAGCTTCACTGGGTGTGGGACACAGTGCTGGGCTGGAGATGCACCTCCCTGGAGCTCTGAGATGATGTGGCACACATCCCGTGTGGCTATTGACTGCCACCCTACAGTGGTGGCACACAACTGGGCACACTGAGGGGCTCAGGGAACCTTAGGGGCGACAGGGCAGCTCCTGGCTCTGTGACCAAGGTCACAGGGGTAGAAGGGAAGTCAGAGCCTTTCCAGGGAGCACAAGGGTGGTGGGGACAAGGCTGGAACCTCTGGAACTGACTCTGGAATGCACTCTCTCCACCCCAGACTTTGCCTAAGCCTTAGTGCAGCCTGGACAGACCTCTGGGAACCTGATGCCATGCTCAGGATGCCAGTTCAGATGGGGTCAGACTGGGGGACTCCTTGGGCTACTTCTGTTTGTTGTTTTCCTAGTTCCCCACCTCAGCCCTGGAGTCCGGCCTTGGATCACAAAGGAAAGGAGCTGCTGCCAGGCCATACTTTTGATAAATGTGCCATCGTCCCTGCACGACCATCATCTCCTGGGACAGCAGCACCCCCTCAGCACAGGAGCAGGGACAACGCTAGGTTCATGTACAAAACCAGTGTACCCCTCTATATATATGTCACACAGAATGTATATATGTTGGGAACATGCTCGCTTCACTCGTGTGTTGCCAATGTGTTACGTACCCTGCAGCCCAGAGCCCCAACCAGGCCTGTACCAAGTGATGGGGCTCCCAAGGTGCCCCTTGTCTCCACACCATCAGTGGCCTGGGTCAGTCCCTGTAAGTCTGTCTGCCTGTCCATCTGTGTCCTCAGTTCTGTCCATGCTTCAGTAGGCCTGATGTAGCTCCCAATCAGGCCACCCTAGCAACTTCTTGTATATATGACTGTAAAATGGTAAACGTGTGTATTATATCTGGCCTCGTTATATAGTGTATATATATGTATACATATACATATATATAATATATATGAAGACTGTAAATGTTAAGACGACTAGTGTTCTTATTAGTATATTGCTTCACACTGAAGATTGTGTGTATCGAGCTGTTTCTAAAAGATGTTTATTTTCCTTAAGAGTTAAAAAAAAACAAACAACAGTCATTGCATTCAGAAAAAAGTCAATAAAGATACACAATTGTTTTGGAAGTCTGCAGCAGCTCATGGCTTCTGACCAGAGATCGCCCCGGGGGGTGGAGCCAGGCTTTAGGTGGGGAATGAAGCATGGAGAAGAGCAGGTGCAGTTGTGATAGTGCCACAGTGAGATGACTAGAGGGCACTGGGGGAAGAGTGACAGACCCAGGTTGTAGCTCCTCCTGCCAAGACAACCCCTCCAGGACACTGAGTCAGTCCTCTCATGTCCACTCTTCACAGGACTAAAGTTAGGTGGGCTAAAATAATTGAGACCACCAGGGGCATAGAGCCCAAAGTTGTGGTCCAGAGGTCTGTGGGACCCCAGTACAGCAAATAAAGGGGCATGGCCCACCATTTCCATGCTAACAGGGGACCTCTGCATAGATGCTGTGAGAAAGGACTGTCCAACGGATCCCTACTGGTTGGGATGCTAAAGCATACACCTCAAACTCAAGTTATAAATAATTTTCTTTATTGTCTATATAAAACTTCTCAACCTATGAAAATAAAGTCTGCAGGACAAGGGAGCAAAGAGGCTGGAAGGCAGACACAACACCTCTCCCCAGAAGGGGCTGGGAAGCTTTGCTGGTTGAGATGGCCTGCACCTCCCCTCGTCATCTATGGACAGAACTGGAAAATACAGTCTTTGGCCCCTGCGACCTCCATAGTGGCCACCAGAGGTCAGGACCTTCTAGGTGACACTTTGTGGTTGAGGAACAGTCTGGGTGTGGGGTCCTGTACCCCCCCCCCCGCCCCCAGATACAGTGCAGCCTGGGATAAGCCTTCAGCATGGGGTCTAGCCAGAAGTGATGGTGGTCCCACCACCCAGACTCAAGAGCATCTGCTGACAGTCATGCAGCAGCCGGCGGTCCCCAAGCTTCTCCAGTGTGCGTGCTGCCTCAGCCAACATTCCCACATGTTGCCCAGGTGCCGACAGGAAGCCAGGGGGCAGGTAGCAGGAAGCCAGCAGCAGAGCCTGGGCATGTTCCCGCCTCATGGGCCGAGGTTCCAGCTCTGCCATGATGCCTGTGCAGAGGACACACTGGTGCTGGGACTGAGCAGAGGGTCGTGGACGAGGTGGTGCACAGGGCAAGGGGTGGCATGACCCCCAAAGACCACAATCCTTCCCCTGATGTAGTCCTCCCAGACCTCATGGGGCCGCTAAGTCCTTCACCTGGCCCACCTCTGGCCGCAAAGCAGGTCCCCTTGGACATGAATATGTACATGTTCCACAAGTAAACAATATTAAGTAAGTCCTTCCCATCTCTTCCCTCCAGTAGGAAGGCTTCACAACTCACAGTGACCCTAGAGCAGCATATCTGAACATTGCTCTATCTGGCCCCATCCATGGTCAAGCCCAGTGTTAGTCACTGTGTCAATCCTCTTTCTCTGACCCTTCATCTTTGCTGGCATATACTGTCTTTTTCTAAGAACTGGCCTCTCTTGACAACATGCCCTTGCTTCTAAAGAGCACCCTGGTTACACTTCCTCCAAAACAGGGCTCCCTACAATACTTCACAGTATACTCTTGCTTACCTCTGCCAGCCAGGCCAGTTCGCCGCCTCAGACTGCGGCCCAGCAGCTGGTGGGTTCTCGTAGGACTGGCTCCCACCATCAGCCTGGCTGTGGCCTCATGCAGGAACACCTGGACTCGGAGGTGCCAAAAAGAGTCAGCCCTGGATGCTATCATCCCTCCCATCCCAATACCAAGCAAGAATCCCAGCATTTACCCTCTGCATAGCAGGCCGGAAGCTCTGTGCCAGCCTCCGAAAGCTGCTCAGGTCCAGCTGGAAACCATGGAGCTCTATGGCAGAAGTGTGGGCCCCACTGCCTACCCCTGGGGAAGCCTGTGCCGGTGGCTGCTGCTGCTGCCACAGGCACGTGCGTGCCACAAGGAGCAGGTCACACAGGAGCAGCTGCACAGCCTGATGGAGCCAGGGCAGTGAAGAGAACTCATCTCAGACAAGCTTGTCAGGGGAGGGACATGCCCAAGGCTTTCTACATCTCCACATCCCTACCCCAAGAACTGCCACCTTTGCCTGGGGTTGGGTTGCTGAGACCAATCAACCTTCCCCTGAACCAAGCAAAGTCAACAAGATCCTTTGCCTCTTGACCAGAGGACCTGTCAAGTACCCAGCCCCAGCCCTCACCTTGTCAGTGGAGCTGCCAGTTGGCATGGTGGCCAGGCTGTCCCGCAAGTGCCCACTGGCCTTCTCACAGAATGCCAGGCTAGCTGGCATAGACTCTGCCTTACTGCAACCCAACAAGGCCCGAGCAGCCTGGAAAGTGTGTAAGGCAGCCCTGGGCAGAGCTCTCCTATGGGCCAGAAGAGTGACGGTCAGGCTGGGCCCCAGGCCCTCAGGAAGCCCCTTACTTCTGAGGGATAAAAGGGGGTGGCCGTACCACATGGAGCTGATGATGGGCAGGGAGCAGGTTTTAGCACTCACTCAGATGCCTGCAGAGCATGGGGCAGGTGCTCCACCAGTGGGCTCAACTGCTCGGCTGCCTCCTCGTCACGCCTCAGCCAGTGGATTGCGACAGCTGCTAGTGACGCCCACCACTTCGCCACTGGGTCAGTGCCTACACAAGAGAGTCGAGAAGGAGGCCCCACTCTGGCCATAACCTCTCCCCACCCTAGTAGAATCCGAACCCTCAGGCCAAAGCCAAGCTGGAAGTGCTGGGCAAGGCTGCGGGCTCACCAGGGCCAGCAGTCTCCCTGTGGCTCATGGAAAAGCTGCAGGCAGGAGTCCCACTGGCATCGCAACAGCTGTGGAGCAGCTGCAGGTACCCAAGGGCGTCCGAGAATTCCCTGTGGCATAAGAGGGCTGGCTGTGAGGGAAGGGCTCCCCACATCCACCAGCTGTTGTGACTGCTGATAGGGAAACTGAGAGGACTGGAGGTCACAGCTGAGGACCACAGTGAAGAATCAGTGGCCAGCCTCAGGCCACAGACCCCTGGCTTGCACTCACCGGCCCCCATCTGCTGATCCAGAGACAGGACTTGGGTGAGCCACACAGTGGAGAGCTCGCTCCAGGAGATGCTCACGGAACAGCTGAGCCACCTGGGCCAGGGGGTCCACTGTGGGAAGGAGACAGCACAGGGCAGATGTGGGTGCACTTGGACTTCAACAAGGTGCTCTGGTGCTAACCCAAAGGTGGTTCAAATCCCCCAGCAGCTCTGAAGGAGAGAAATGGGTAGTCTCCTCCCTGCTATTTACAGGCTCTGAACAAATGCTGGAGGCTCAGCTAGGAGTGGGTTCTGACTCAACAGCAATGAGGACATGAAATTAATTTACTTCAATACACCCAAGCTTTCTCCTGGGCATATAGGTTTGACCTACAACCGAAAGTGTTACAGAGCATGGTGAGTGACATACAGGAGTGTCACCAGCTCACCTCTTTTGCGTGGCCTCACCACCGCAGTCCTCCCATCATCTGCTCTACTGACTTCCTCTCTGCCATCCTTTTTCCACTCAGTGCTTTCTGGGACTACTTTCCAAACAAATGCCCTCCTCTCAGGGTGTGTCTCTGCAGTGCCCCAACTGAATGCCCTTTTTAAGCACTCTCCACCCCAATAACTATAGCAGATAGAGTGAGAACAGAAGCAACCGGCAGGGATGTTGAGATGCTGGTGACAAGCAATGGAGTAGAAAGACAATAGGCGGCAAGGTTGAGGAACAGTCAGGGCAGAAGAGATTAGGGACAAAAAGAAACAAGGACAGGGATGGGGAACAAGGGATGAAGATGAAAGGTGGGAGATGAGAGACAATAATAGGGAACAAGGGGCAGAGATGACAGACAGGTGAAGGCCAAGGGATTAGTTGCAGGGAGGAGGACAGGGATGGGGAACAAGCAATGATAACGGACAGGTGGGAGATGAGACAATAATCAGAAACAAGGACAAGGATGACAGAGTACCTGGGTTTCCAGCCGAGCTGTACAGACTCTCCCTTGGAGTACTGTGCACGACCCAGTCCCCGTCCACAAAATAACGGTGGCCCACAGGGTGGCAGAGCCACTTCATGGCCAGAGGCATGGAACTACCCTGTGCCAAGCAGGCTTGCTGGGCATTTCTCAGGAAGAAGCGCTGTTTGGGAGGGGAGCTGAACTGTCACAATGAAATGTCACAGCCAGGGGCTCAAACAGACCCTACCCCTAAAAACAATCCCCTTGTCCTGGGCACCTGTGTGGCCCCTGAGCCTCCACCCACCATCCCTTACCCACTCACAGTCAGGACATGCAAGATCCTAGGGAGACTGGTCTTGACTCTCAAGGCGGCCGCTACATAGATTTCAGCCAACGTTGCCACAGACATAGTGTCCCCTGCACATTCAGCCAGGTTCAGGGCACACAATGCCAGGTTAATAGCAGCAAAGTGTCCACCCGTGCACTTCCCTGGGAATAGACAAGGGGCTTCAGCTGGATTGGGGAAGGGGGTGGGGGTCAGCCATACCCACTGTGTGCCCAGCTATACCCACTTTGTACCTGGCCATATGCCTAGCCATACCCACTGTAAGGGTGTGCCCACCCTTACCCACCATGTGCCCAGCCATGTGTCCATCCACACCTACCATGTGCCTAGCCGTACTCACCATGTCCTCACCCATACCCACCGTGAGCCCAGCCATACCCCATACCCACTGTGTGCCCAACCTTACCTACTGTGTGCCTGGTCATACCCACTGTGTGTCTGCCCCTACCCATCATGTGAGCTCAGCCATATGCCTAGCCATACCCACCATGTGCCCAGCCATACCCATGATGTGCCAGGCCACAACCACCATGTGCCAGACCTTACCATGTGTCCCCAACTTACCCACCGTATGCCCAGCCTTACCTATGTGCCCACCCTTATACACAGTGTGCCCAGACATATGTCTAGCCATACCTACGATGTGCTTGGCCATACCCACCATGTGCCCAGCCTTACCATGTGTCTGGCCATTACCTACTGTGTGCCCAGACACATGCCTAGCCATACCCACCATATGCCTGGCTATAACCAACACGTACCCAGCCTTACCAACCATATGCCCAGCCTTACCCACAGAGTGAGCACCCTTAACCACCAAGTGCCCAGCCATACCCACCATGTGCCACCCTTACCCATAGCGTTCCCAGCCATACACACCATGTGCCCAGCCATATCCACCATGTGCCCGGCCATACCCATGGTGTGCAGCTGGTGGAGTTGATGGTAGGCCAGAGCAGCATCACGTGCACTAGCACGTGCATCTGCATGCAAGGACTCATCCTTCTGCAGACCCCCTGCCTGACTGGCCAGCCAGCGGCCCACCCAGAGATGTTGTAGCAGGTGACGGAGGAGGTTCCAGAGCAGGCTGCATGCCAGGTCCAGGGAGCAGGTGGGGAGGGGCCGGCCCAGCGCCCAAAGGGCTAGCCAAAGCTGCTGGGCAGCCTGAGTAAAGTCCCCCTGGGGATGTGAGTTTGCTGGGTGAGAGAGGATAGACACAGCACCAAGGACACAGTTCCACTGTCTCTGTAGGTCCCTTAGTCTCTGACTTCCCATTAAGGTCCTGGGCATGCTGGGCTTGCCCCAAGTCAGTCAGTAGTACTTGGGGTCCTAGGAGCTGGAGAGTTTGAGGGATTGATAAGAGTGGGGATAGCCAGGTAGACATCTGGTATGCACAAGGGCAGAGCATAAGGAGTGCAGCGCCACATCCCAGAGCTGGGAGCCTAGTGCTGTCTCCATCCACAGGCCAGGCCTCACCTCCCTGCTTCCCTCCAGGACCCACTCTCCACTCCATGGATCCTTCTAGGGCCAGCCCTCCCCTCTCTGCCTCTGTCCAGGGCCAGCCCTTCCCTCTATGGATCCGTCCAGGGCCAGCCCTCTCCTCCCTGGATCCATACCTCATCCAGGCCAGCACTCACTCACCTCCCTGACTGTCCAGTTCCAGCCCTCCCTTCCCTGCCTCTGTTCATGGGCCAGTCTTCCCCTTTCTTCCCCTTTCTCACCCAAGCCGGCCCTCCCCTCCCTGCCTCCATTCCTCACCCGGGCCAGGTCCATATCAGCCTGCCTGCGATGCCTCCAGAAGTGCACAGCAGGACCTGAGTGAGGCCGTGTGACTGGCTCTCCATAGGCAAAAAGAAGGGCTAAAGAACCCAGTGCCAGCAGCCCATTAACCAGCCAGACAAGTGGGGGCAGCAGCCAATGGGCCCAGCCAGGGACATCTAGGGCAGAGGTCAGAGCTTTGGCTTGAATCTTAGTGAACACAGAACCCCAAGCCCGCAGGCCTAGGGTCTATCCCCCAAGAGTGCCCCTGTCTACTACTACCAATAATAGCCAGCTGGCTTGTCCCTACCTCTGCCCTCGGTGCCCAGCATGCTGCGTCCAGTTCCATGGTAGACACTGGTGGAGTCTGGAGGGCTGGAGAAACTTCGTCCGCCCAGCAGGGAGGTCAAGGGGTTGCAGGACAGACAGAGAAAGATGAGAGCACACAAGGCCAAGCGAGATCGGTCCAGCAGGCCCCGGCTACAGTGTGTCAGCGGTACAGGCTTCCCCTAGGAGGTGAGGTGGGCAAGGAAGTGAGAACAGAATGAGACCCTTACAAGTTTGGGGCTGGGGAGGAGTATCAGGACCCTGCCTCACTGGTTCCAAGTCTGAGTTCTGTCTATAAGGTAGAGGGTAGAAAGAGATTTTGTCAGTTTCCATCATGGCCCATCTCTGGGACTCAGAGATCACTGGAAATGGGGAGGGGATGATACAGCCATGGGGCCAACCTCACTGTTCTCCAGGAACAGGCTGTCAGGCTCCGAGTCACTGCTGCCGCCGCCACTGCCCCTGCTTCCCAGGGACAGGGGGCTGCTCTGGGAAGGCGAGCCCACATCAGAGGGCGGTGGGGTCGGTGTGGCCACCACATCCGGCTTCATGCCCTCCATGGACATGGCTGTAGGACCCCCACAGGCAGATATCAGGTCCTTCAGAGACCCTGCAGTCCAGCAAAGATCTTGGCTGTGGCTGAAGGCCTGACGTTTTCACCCCAGCCACCCACCCAGATCAATTCAGGGGCCTAAGTGGTAGGGGCTGGAAGAGAGTCTTACTTCTGAGGCCCTGTAAACCACTGCCTATGGACTCAGTTCTGACCCCCAGGGACTCATTGGGTTCCCAAGGCCATTAATAGAAGCAGACTCCTCCACTTTCCTGTGTTGAGCAGCTAGTAGATCTAGCTAAATAACTTGCTGGTTAGCAGCCTACGTTACGTAGAACCTATTACTGCAAGGGAGTTCTGTGGACTATGCCATCAGAGTTCCATTATTAGTGACAATGGAGGGGCCAGTGCTAGAGCCATGATGAGTGCAGGAGGTTGCAGAGCTGAAACTAGGGAGGGGCGGGACTTACTGCTCCTGAGGGCAACAGTCTGCAGACTCAGGTTCTCCTGCTTGAGTTTTTGATTGCTGTGTTGTAGGAAGCGAATGTAGTCAATGGCCTTGCGCAGGACAGCTGACTTATTCAGCTGCAGGGGTGGGAGAGAAACCTCAGTGGGTGAAATCGCTTCACAGCCTTGTTGCCTCAGGGGCTCTTCTGTTCTTTCTACTTGGACAGCCTCTCCACTCATCCCTCCCTCATGTAACACAGATACAAAAGGGCTTGGCTATGTTCTGTTACTACTAACATCTTCATTCCACTCCCTCACCTCCTCCGGGTCTCTCCTGACCACTACCCTACTACAATTCAGACCTGTCAACTCTCAGACCTCCTTCCCTGCATGTACCTGTCACAATCATGGACACACTGTGCTCCACAGCATTCACCCTCTTTGGTGTCCTCTCACACTTGTTCTATAATCCCGTCCACAATCCATGTCACCTCATGGGAACACAGAGGTCCAATAGTAGGATTTGTGTCTGTCTTACTCATTGTTCTTTCCCTGGGCATAGGACAGCCCCTGGCACAAAGGAGACCCTCTGCCAAATTACCCCATTTGTTTCTAGATGTGGTCTCTACCAATTCGTTATCCAGGTGTGACATCCCACCTATTCTGGCCTCCCAGGTCATGTCTCCCAAGCCCAGGCCACACCTTTGCCTCGGTGCCCACAACCAAGTCCTTGAGCTCCGTGATCTTATCGTTGATGGAGGAGCGATAGCGCTTCTCGATGGCATTGTGGGCTGTGCGCTTCTCACCACGGCTCTGGGTCACCCCAGGGGCTTTGCCACTGGCTGCCAGCCGATTGATGGGCAGCTTGTCTGTGTCCACCACTAGTGGCACTGTGGCCAAGATGGTCCCACTACTCACCAGGGTCTGCAGACATCAGTAGAAGTTAGTGGGGAGCACGTGTACAGGCCCCAACCCCCGTGCCCCCTTCATGTCACCAACCTGCAGGGGCCCTGGCTGAACAGTGGCCCCAGGAGTCAGCGAAGCAATCCCTGCTGTTTTCACAGTGGCTCCCACATCTGTCTTCATGGCTGTTAGAAGCAATGAATCAGCCTTGATGAAGTGGGGCTGAAGCAAGACCTGGGTGTGAAAGCAGAGAGCAGAGCCTTATGTCTGGGCCATGGGTGGCCTCTCATCCCAGACTTCAAATTAGATCACTCACTGGGACTTGCTGGATCTGCGAGGCTACAGCAGTCATTCCAGGTGTCACTGACGAGGTGGTTGTGGCTGCCAGCATCTGCTGGGGAGCTGCACCCTGAACCTGGGTGTGCAAGGAGCTAGGTAAAGCCCCTGGTAGAGATCCCTGCGGCCGGCCAGGGAGCAGCTGCTGGGCACTCGCTGGGGTGATGCCTGTAGAGACAAGGGCAGAGCTCAGGCATCTGAGTTCACTATATCTTCAGGTCACTATCACCAGGTGCTTCTCCTTGGGACCTCGGTTTCCCCTCGCCTGGGGCTGTGGTGCACAGAGACTCAGCCAGGAGCCTGCATTTTGAAGGACAGGCAGGCAGAGTAAGAGCTGATGTGCAACTAATTATCAAGTGTAATCCAATGCCACACACACAAAAGCCTGCCAAGCACCGGAGGAAAACCCAAATCCTAAAGTCTACCAACCCTGTTCTAGACCCCTGGCTGACCACCCCCACCTTTTCCCCTCCCCCTTACCTGTTGAGAAGCCTGTAGCTGGACTACAGTAGCCTGGCACAGGGGCTGAGCTGCATAACAGAGGGGATGGGGGTGGGCCTGGTAAGCTCTGGGCTAGCAGAGCCCCCAGATGGGACTCTGTGGTGGAGGGCTGCAGGATGCTCAGTGGTACAGGCTCCTCCTTGATATCGGGTCCAGGAGAGAAAGCAGGCTCAGATGGGTACATCTTCAATGGGGTGAGTATAGTCTGGGGAGGGGATAGGGACAAGGGTGTTGCTGACTTGGAGCCCCCCAGAAGGCCTTCAAGTGGGGAGCTCAGCATGGTAGGAGGTGGGGACAAGTCGGTGAGGGAGCTGGCATCAGGACTGGCCAGCTCTGAGGCCCTTGCCCTGCCCCCAGCATAGGGGCTGTCGAACAGTCCTGGAAAGTCACTGTCCTGGTTGTTGATGAGCTGGAGCATGTCTGTAGAAGAAGGAAAGCATGTAAAGCAGCAAGAAAAAGGCTAGTCCTGGACAAACATCACACACTTGCACACATGAACCTGTGTGCTTGCCCTACACACAGCCCACACACATGGACACACAGTACAAGACCACCATGCCCCCAGAGCACAATGCTTTTTGGCATCTGAGCAAAACCTAGTAGTTGCATCATAAGAGCAAGCATCACAAGTCTAGGAAGCTGACACCAGGGCCCCTGGAGGTCATGTAGCTGGGGTAGGTTACCCCAGTACTGACTGGGGCACTGCCTGGACCTTTACATTCCTAGACTTATCTGGACATATACTAACACCCCCAGCACACACACATGCATTCAGCTAGCACAATCCCCTTCTTCACTGTGAACAGGAAGGGAACTTTTCCTATTCAGAACCGAGGAACCTCCTGGGGATACGAAGAAGTGTATCTTGATGTGGATAGTGATGCATTTTTGCTCCTTCATATACTCTGGAAAACCACCACACATAGCCACAGAGGTTCTGAACAGTGGCTTTGCCAGGAGTGTCAAGTCCTTCCAGCCAAGATCTCCTGACCTCCCACCCTCTGACCAGCTCTATGGAGGACTACAGTCACCTAGCCCAGAACAAAGGGTCCAGAGGCCCAGGCATTGCCTTGCCTGGCTCCACTTGAGGCTTAAGGGTCATGTCTCACAGCTCTAATCCTTGCTGAGTAGAGTGGTACAGGCAAGGGCCACTCACAGGGACTATGACGTCTACCCTCAGCCAACAAGGAGAGATGTAAACAAAATAGATTTTCAGACAGATGAGCGGCTCACAGCTTCCTAATGACCACTGCTAATACCTTCCTTTAAGGTCTTTCAGCAGGGTCCTCTGCACTTAGATTTTGAGAAAGCAACTTGGGTAAACTGCTGAGATGTGGGGAAGCCTCCTTTGTCTATGGGAAAAAGAGAAGCCTAGTAAAAGGTAGGTAGGCTCAAGGCCCTGAGAGAACATGGGGTCCTCTACCACCAAGCCCAATCCCATTCCTTCCAGGGCAGCACAAAGCACCCAGAGAGGAATGGCAGCAGAGTGTTCCCCAAGGAGCCCTCCTCTGGGGCTAGGACAAAGGCAAGAACACACTGGAAGGGTGAAGCCTCAGTCCATTTCACAGTATGTGATCTAGAAATGGGGACCCAGACTGGGCTGTCACCCTCCTAGCAAAAGGCTGTAAAAAAGTGATCATGGGGCGAGCTCTGGTGGCCTAGCAGCAAGAAGCTGCTCTGCAATCCCACAGGAGTGTGGTTTGAATCTACCAGATGCTCTGCTGGAAAAGGAGGAACAATCTCCTCCTATATCAGTCAGATCTGATTTGGTGGTACACACACACACACAAAATAATAATAAAATAAAATTTAAAAAAAGAATGTGATCATGGGAACAGCGCTATGATGAGAAAACTGAGTCAAAGAAAGTGACTTCTAGAGATGCAAGATCCCACCTAACTCAGAGGCCGATGAGAGGAACTAGGACCCACAGGGGATTCAGCCCAGTATACAAAAGGCCAGGTCTTTTATCCTCACACCGTCCTTCCTACTTCCCTGGAAGCCAGGAGTAAAGCTGCCTTTACCAACCCATTCTTCAGCAGAATACAGCAAGGCCCAGGCACAACCAGCTGCTGATTAGCTTTGTGTTCCACCCAAAACCCAGGCCCTGTAGAGAGAGCATGTCTGCTTATGTGGGCTGCAGTCTCCCCTTCATCAAAGGTAATCTGGTCAAGCTACCCTTTCCCTTCTCCTGGAACAGCCCAGGACTTGTCCCTCTCTCCCCCAGTACAGCCCTAGCCCTCTCTCCCAGCTGGCAGCCAGAAGCTTGGCAGGCTTACCCAGTCTGCTAACCCACTCAGGATACCTACCCACTGGGTCAAAGGGCTCAGCAGCACAGGCCTGGAGCCCTCCCAACCCCTGGGATCCCTTGCCTGGGCTTCCAGCATTGCCCACCTCCAATGCTCCTCACTAGGCCCAGCCTCCTCAGCCTGGATTCTCTGGGACGTTGTCTGTCTCCAGGGCAGCTGCTCAGAATTGCTGATTCCCTCCCTCTGGCTGGTGTCTCAGCAGGAATATAAAAACCCTTTATGACCTAAAATTATAAAATTATGACCTAAAATTATACAGGTCACAAGTGCCTTTAACTGCAAGACCTACACTCCATCCACCCAAGCCAGACCCATCAGCCTGAAAGAAAAACTGACTAGGATCCTGTTCTCCAAAAGGGCACACATACAGTGTGGAGTCAGAGCCATTTCCCTTTCAAACCTCACTGAGACTCAAAGCCTCATTGGCACAAGCCTCCCAGGGAGCCAGAGACATGCAGGCACCTCCAGGGGTCCCGACAGAGGTCCTACAAAGAAGTTGGGAGGTTGTAATTAATGGGGGGGGGGGGTCCTCAAATACCTTCAAATGTACAGTCCATGGTGCCTTGAACCTGGCCACAGATCTGCCCAAGGGAGCCAGCGGCCAGCCCCTCTCAGCGCCGACCCCACTTGTCAGCCTGCCCCGAGCTTTTAAAGCCGAGGACCCGGCTGGGCCACCCCTTGAACAGCACGCCTGCGCACATGGAGTGCCAGCTGCCGTGGGGTGAGCGTGCACAGCCAATCAGCGCCTCGCCATGCCCCCCAGCCCCGCCCCAATGAAGCAGTTCGGTGTCACCCGCCCCCACCCTGCGCTGGGTGGGGCTGGGGTTACTCGCGGGCGCTGGCCTTTAACTTCCTGGATGCTGGTGGCTGTAGGGTTGGTTACTGGTGGTCACGGCTTCCCTCAGCTTCTGTCCCCTCAGTTCACTTGGAGAACTGGAGTAGGGTGGACGTGGGGAAGAGGGATTTGGACGGGGAAAGCACTGGCTCCCTGACCTTGTAAGCAATCTTAAATCGCTCAAAATCTCAGGCTTTTTTTCTTTCTTTCTTCTTCCCTAGAAAATAGAACAACCTGACATCAAATAGGAGAAGTAAGGAAGAGGATGTGGTGCCAGGTGTGTACTCACGAACATTTAACCAGACCAGGGTGACTACCTCTCCCTCTAGGGCAACCCCAGCATGGAGTCATGTCCTGGTCCAGGAAGGTCTGATGGGCTGGGATCCAGAAGAAGCCCCTAGCCCACATCACACTTTGATGTAATATTGAAACCTGGACATCCTGACTCCCAGAGCTGGGCAGAGTCTGGCTACCTGCAACCTGACCACCTACAAGATACAGCCTCCCTGCGTAGGCCAGGAGGTTGGGATTCTTTCTGACCTGAATTTTTCCTCCCTTATCAGGAGCGATTTCTACCTTTCCTGGAAGCAGGGCTCCTAGCTGGACAGCAGACCTCTCTAGCAGCTCCACTCTCTCCTTGCACTCTGCAGATGCTTTGGGAGTAGGGAAAGAGGAGCCTGAGATAGATGGGGCAGCACCAGGCCTCATCAGACCTCAGTGTGTCCACAGGCAGGTTTCTTGCTTCTCTTTGGTCATGGAGACTTGGCCACCAGGATAGCAAGCTCTCAGGCAGAGGAGCAAGGTGAGTGAAGATAGGATGGGGACAACCTAGACACTAGGTGGCATGTGGAAGGGCCTGCCACCCCCAGTAACTTGGGGCCTGACCTACCTTCTCCCCTCCATCTCACTTCTCCAAACCTGGGTTTCCATCTCACTCTTGCCAGGCTAAATGGAGTGGAAACCTTGCCCCTTGCTGGTGCTGGTAGGCCCACACACAGGGCTGGATCACCTACCTCCCTGACTTGTGGTGTGCCTTAGGTGGGTTACTCCCCTCCCTGAGCTTCCACCTGCTGGTCTGAGGGCAAGGAGTTCTAGAACAGCAAGTACATAAAACAACAAAGGCTGCTCCTCCCCAGTGAAGCAAAGAGAGTGATCCAGAACTGGAAGAGCAGGCAGGAATAGCATGCAATCTTCATGTCAGAACTCACAACGCCTTGATAAGGATTTTGGTTTTGAAGGGTTAGCAAGGTCCAGGGAAGAGAGAGGGGCAGGGTAGCACCTACAGTGCCAAATCTTGGGAAACATCTTTGCTTTCCCACAGCTGCAGTACTGGTCACTAAGGAAATGTCTCTCAAATGATGCTCCCTGCAAGGCCAGCTGAGCACTGTGCAGGCCACACATTGGGCTCTCACTTCAAAGGATAGGAGCAACAGACACACACATCAGTGGACCCATCAGACTATACCATCTTTCTCTTCTCCCCAAGCTTAGGAAGCCCCTCCTATGCCCTCTTCCTCTTCTCTTTCCTACATTGATCCTATCAGGGTATAACATGAAACTTGAAATACTTGCTCCACTTCCATCTTCTTCGTTGGCTCTACCTTCACACCTTCCTTTGAAAGTAGACATAGGGCAGTCTTTAATTCCTACTTATCTAGTGCTGGTTTTTCAGGGCTGATTTATTCTCTGAGGCCTGAAGCTATCCTGCAAAAACCTCATAGTACCATCTGACCATCACAGAGCTCTGAAAACTTCAGAAGTTGGTGAATGAATGGCAAACAAACTCTGCTTACCCAAAGTCTCATCCACAAAGCCCAAGTTTGATAACATTTCCAGATAGATTTCAAAGGGCAGCTAGGGAAGATAAAGCAAAGTATTATAATGAAATGTGCAAAGAGCCGCAATTGGAAAATCAAAAGGGCCAAACTCACTCAGCATTTTTTCTTTTTTGCTCAGCATTTCTTAAGCTAAAGGATCTAAAGAACAAATTCAAGTCATGAGTTGCTATGGGTAGAATACTGAATGATCCAGAAAGCATTAAAAGATAGAAGGAGTATACAGATTCACTGCACCAAAAAGAATTGACTGACACTGAAGAATTTCATGAAATAACATATGCTTAAGAGCAATGGTGATGAAGGAGGAAGTGCAGGCTGCTCTGAAGGACTTGGCAAAAAAGGCCCCAGAAATTGATGGAATACCAATTGACCTATTTCAACAGATGCTGCCCTTGATGTGTTCACCAGGTTGTACCAAGAAATCTGGAGGACAGCTAC